CCAACACCATTGTATTCATGGTGTTCATTGTAGCAGCAGAAACCTAAGATAATCTGCATTTTAGCTTCCATTTCTCTGATGGTGAGAATGAGGCAAAGAATAAACTGCATGCTAAGTCCTACATCTGGTCCTGCTTTAGGCCCTAGTCAAGTGTTCCATCCAGGCGGTTCTGCAGGTCCAGGCATGAAACAGGGGGGCCACACTGTGCCACGGTCTGCCTGCAGCAAGGTCTCCAGAAAGACAACCCTTATGGGACTCCCATTAACACCAGAGCCCACTCTCCTCTATCCAAGGTGAAATGGGCAGTACTGTTCGCATTTGACACTTTGCATCCTGTAAAAGATCCTCTACTTCTCAAATTAAAAAAAAGACCAGAAACTCAAGACAGATAGAGCAAATTTTTCCCTCCAAGTTTAGAAATGGGGTGGGGGTTAGGGACAGGTGCTGCTCAGATGTCTTTTCTCAATGGCTTTTTTATTGTATGTGTGTCTTGTTTACATGCATATAAGAGCACCACATGTGTGCCCGATCCCCTGGGATTGGAGATGCATGTAGTTGTCACCATGTGGGTGGTCGGAATTGCACTTGGATCCTCTTCAAGAGCAAGTGCTCTTAACTGCTGAGCCATCTCAACTCTCTAGCCCACTGCTCTGACTTGATACAGGGTCTCATTACTGAGCCTGAAGCTCTCCATTTGGCTAACTGGCTGCCAGTGAACCTGCAGGTCTCTGACTGCTCACCCTCTATGCCCGGGCTCACTGTTCACATAGACTCTGGAGCGTAAACACACAGTACCCACTCAAGCTGTCTCCCTGGCCCTAAAGTGGTTTGGGGTTTTTATTTTGCTTTTTGTTTAGGCTTTTGGAGATAGTCTCACTTAGTAGACCAGGCTGGCCTTGAACTCAGATCCACCTTCTCTGCCTTTTGGGTGTTGGGATTAAAGGCATACACAACTATACCTAAAAATCATTTTAAAACACTAACTCAAGGGTTTGGGGGCTTGCCACCAAAACCCATGCAAGAAGAGCTGAAGCCACATCCCAGGAAAGGACACAACTGAATTGAAACCTTATCGCTTTTAAAGGTAGACTCTCGAGTGACCAGAACTCCAGCATGCCACTTCCTCCTGGACACCTTTAAATGGCACAAGGGCTGGAGAATACGAGACACATTGTATGGAACGTGCTGTTTTGGCTGAGAAAGAGCTGTGGGGTGACAGTATCCCAACCCGGACACAGCTGTTTGTGACAAAGTCCCTGTCACCAAGTAAACATTCTACCTCACCAAACATCTGTTTCCTGTTTTTATTCTTCCCTTTATCACTCTATCCTGATTTCCTTCCACCTGTAGGCCACCAAAGACAAGCAAAATGAAGAAAGGCCGTGTCGGCTGTCAGCTCTCCTATGAATGTTCAGAGGGCAGTTAGTCATTCTGCTTGGAGGGATGGGGGAGCAGAGTCCAAGGCCCCTCAAAGCACATTCTGAGATGGAAGGCAGCAGTATGGTCCCCCTTGAGGTGACTAATATCCTCCCTCACTTCCTGTGAAGAACTTTTTCCTGTGGAGGCAGTGTCTGAGCCCTACAATGGTAAATTGCATCACCAAAGGAAAGTCGTGCACAATAAGTCGAGGCAGTAACTTACCTAGGGCTACACACCAAACAGGATCTCTTATTTCCACACCCCACGCACAGCTATAAGACAGGATGCCTTTACATTTAAGGAAATTTATTTCTATGCAGATAGGCTCAGGTCAAAATTCTCCTCAGATCAAGGAAGCATCTGTGTCGCCGAGGAGCTGCAGCTGGCGCTGGAGGCGGAGGGCGGGCAGTGTCACCCTGCAGTAGCATGTGAGGCTCTGGTGCACGGGAGGCTGAAAGACTGCAGAGTGCCCGCACACACTCACTCCCTGTTGCTCACAGACCGGCAGGGTCCTTCAGGTTAAGGAAGCCGAAGCAGCCTGTCTGATGCACCCCACTTTAAAGGGCATAAGGATGTGAAGCCTCAGTTTAAATCCCTAGGCAGTGATTTAATCTCTCTGCAATAGATGCTGTATGCTGGGGTGCAGCTCAGGAGGCCTGGACTGAACCTCCACTAATAAAAATAAATGACGGAAACCCAAACCCGAGGCAAGAAGAGCTCCAACATTATCAATAATCTGTCCTTCCTCTTAAACAGAACTAGCTCTGGGACCTCTGAGAAAGGGGTGCAATGTAGACGGTTGGTCCCATTAACCCTTCAATGGCTGGGCATGGAGGCAGACCTTCTACAGAAGCCCAGCACTAAGGAGATAGAGGCAGGAGTTCCAGGCTGACTGCCACTACATGCCAAGTTTGAAGCTATGATGAGCTACAAAACTAAAATACTTCAATATTACATTATGTTCATAACAAGTAAGAACTTTGGTTCTGATACAAAGTTTTAAGAACTTTTTCCAGTCACGACTTAAACAGAATAAAATGCACTCAATTCTTGGGAGTTTTGGATATCTTGGCCCTAAACAGCTGAGATCTCTCTCCATCCTGAAATGTATTAATTCTTAACCCATAGGGACTCACTGTGACAACTGAAACATTTTCTTTGTACCTGAGCAACCTGTACAGTCTTCATTTCATCCTATTATCTCTTTGCTGTTAGACTATTCAAATGTATCTTTAAAAAATTATTATGTATACAGTTGTCTGGCTGCATGCCAGAAGACCGCACCAGATCTCTTTATGGCTGGTTGTGAGCCACCATGTGGTTGCTGAAAATTGAACTTAGGAGGACCTCTGGAAGAGCAGCTAGTCTTCACCTCTGAGCCACCTCCCTAATCCCTCAAATGCATCTTTTAAAATACCTAATACTGGAAGTATAAGATAGCTTTAACGTGAAAATGTTTTCAAAAGCAGGTATATATTGCCAGCCCGTGGTAGTGTGTTCCTTGAGACAAGCAGTTCTGAGTTTAGCCAACCTGGTCTATAGAGCTAGTTCTCAAGATCCTCCTGCCTCTGCCTCCTTCAGCAAATCCTACCGGTGCACGCCACCACAACCGGCCTATAGAGCTAGTTCTAAGACAGCCGGGGTTACACAAAGAAATCCTGTCTCAAAAAACAAACAGGGAAAAAAAAAGGAAAAGCAGATACAGAAGACAAATGTTTCCACAGACAGTTCCCCAGTTTTCTATCATTCCTCTGCAAAAAGATTAAGAAAGTCAAGTATGGTGGACATGCCTAGGAAGGCAGGGGCAGGCAGATCTGTTTGAGGCCAGCCTGGTCTATATAGAGTTCTAGGCCATCCAGGGATTTAGTGAGGACCCCAACCCCCAAAAGGATTGCTGAATCAACCAGTTTACTGACAAGTTATGTAAAGCACTGCACTCAACATTCCAGAAGTGCATGGGTCACCACCGCCCCGATTATTCATCACTTTCAACAGGACTTTCCACCCAAGACTACCAGCTGCCACAGACTTCTAGCCCCTTCAAACACAGGACTGTATTCAGGGTCTGGCCAACAGCTAACAACAGAAGCTTTGTGTGGCAGCTTCTAACTGTGCTCAGGAAAAGCTGGCTCTACTTAGACCTCGTTGTCAGAAAGGAGTTCACGAAGAAGAGGCTGCCACAGAGCCTGGTACCTCATCTGTGAGTAAGTGTTGCCTCTTTCAAGTTGTGGGACTTGGAGTTTCTACCAGCAGAGCTAAAACTAATCAGGTCTCTGAAAAATACAAACCTTTTAAGAACTGATTTCAGCTGGGTGGTGGTGGCACACGCCTTTGATCCCACCACTCAGGAGGCAGAAGCAGCTGGATCTCTTGAGGTCAAGGCCAGCCTGGTTTACAGAGTTCTAGAAGAGCTGGGATATACAGAGATACCCTGTCTCAAAAGGGGGAAAATGGATTTCAAATTCAATCACGGAAGTTGGTCTAAGGATGATTTTCCTTATCTCCTGGTTCTTACTAGAGTTTGTACCGAACAAAAGTACACAGCACTGGATAAAAACTGAAAGTCACTCTAGGCACATGCATCACTAGATCCCAGGTCAGCAAACGTAAGGTATAAAAGTTAAGAAACACACTGCATGATTTATAAGTTTGGGGTTTTTTAAAGATAATCAGCTAGGAATCATTTTAACTATGGGAGAATTACAATGAATTATTCAAGATCAATGTTTAATTGTTCAGCCAGGCATGGAGGTTCATGCCTGTAATCTCAACACATGGGAAGTAAAGGATCAGGAATTCAAGGGTAGCATGGGATGCATGTGACCATGCATCATACAAAAATATAACCACTTAAAGTAAATTGAGCTTTTGCAAGATCTGGACACACTCTGAAAAACTCATTAACTTCTGAATCTTTTACAGTAACTGAGTTTAAGCTGGGCACAGTAGTCCTACCTGCAGAAAAGCTAGAGCTCAGGATTCAAGGCCAGCTTCAAAACCACCACCTAGAACAAAATACAAATCCCTATTTCCATTTGTTTATATGGCTTATATAACCATTGAATAAGTTTTCTTAAATTGAAATGTCTTGAAGTCTGAGACAAATTTTTATCAATAAAATGCTAATGGCTTGACCACTATCTATACTTACAAATGCTGGGAAAATTAATTCGTGATCTTTCTTTCTCTAACTCCACTGCTGATAGGCTCCTTTGTGACTACTCAGCAGCTGTGAGTCACATTCTGAGCATCTCCATTCCTGCGGGGACTCACTATCCTAACAGTGGGTAGCAGAGCTTCCCTGGGGCTACTGGGTAAAAGCAACCATAGCTCCTTGGCACTCGCCCCCAGGTCTACTAATCAATCCTCTACACTTGCCCTTCATTCTGACAAAACAGGAAAGAAAAGACCATGAGCCAGGCAGTGGTGGTACACACCTTTAATCCCAGCACTGGGAAGGCAGAGGCAGGCGGATCTGTGAGTTCGAGGCCAGCCTGGTATACAGAGTAAGTTCCAGAACAGTCAAGGATACACAGAAAAACACTACCTCAAAACAAACAAAAAACAAAAATGGGGAAAGGTGCGTTTAAGTAATTTTTTTAAAAAATCAACTTCTTAAAGACCATCACCATTTGCCTTTTTGAGGCGTTCAGTTCCTCTGTGCAGCCCCTGCTGCCTAGAATTTCACTTCAGATCTGACCACAATGATGTGGGGATTGACCGGAGGACTTGAGATCCTCAAGAAGCCTCGTTTCAGCCTGTGTGGCTCTCAACACGTCTGCTTTACAGGAAGGGAGTTCAGGAGCTGTAATACTTGAGGAGATTCTCATCTGTAGGCTTTAGAATTTTCTTATCTGCCATATTCACCACCCAGCCAGGAGCGAGACCAAAGAAAATCTGCCTTGGATCCTTCCGAGCGCTGAGCATTCTGAACAGTTCATCTTTCGTGATATCGGGAAGAACATAGCCATACTTCATGGCGAGTTCAAGTCTTGCTTCAGGAAACTTGGCAGGGTCAGCCAGGTACCCCCGGTTCTTTGCATCTGTGTAATACGGCACCAGTGCTTCAGGTGGGAGCATTCGCTTTGGAATGGGCTGTCCCCGAAGGAAGAAAGGAACAGGCTTGCACAGGATTTCTAAAGAGAATTTTAAAAAAGAGATGTAAATATTGGCTCTATACATAACTAAGCTCAACATTTTTAAATTATTAATTTACTGAGATGAGAACTGAATTCCAATAACTTTTTAGTTAAATAGGCTTACATAAGAAAATAGAAACATCTCCTCATAATTTTTTTTATTTCTCATTTTTATCCTGTGTGCTTGCTGCATATGGAGACCTGATGATAACTTTCAGGATTGGCCAGTCTCCTTCCACCACAGGATCAAACTCAGGTTGGCCTTGCACAGCACGGGTTCTTAACTACTGAGCTATCTAAGCCAGGTTGGAAAAAGTCATTTTTAATAGTTTAGAATTTGAAAAAGGAATGAAGACAGAAAGGAGAGGGGAGGAGGGAGTGAAACAAGGTCAGTAAACACTTCAGATGAGCTAACACCCCTCTGAAAAAGACATTTTTAACTTTTTTTAGATTTAGTTATTTGTACACATATATGTCCAAGGAGGTATGTGTACATGCGTGCAGTGCACAAGGGGGTCTAAAGAGGGCAGCTGTGAGCACAACAGAAGCACTAAAAACTGGCAAGCAAACAGTGGGCAATATGAGATAAAGAAAGAAGGAAGTGGGCCAGGCGGTGGTGGCACATGCCTTTAATCCCAGCACTCGGGAGGCAGAGGCAGGCAGATCTCTGTGAGTTCGAGGCCGGGATGGACCAACAGCCTCCAAAACAATACAGAGAAACCCTGTCTCGTAAAAAACCAAAAAAAAAAAAAAAAAAAAGAGAGAAGAGAGAGAGAGAGAGAGAGAGAGAGAGAGAGAGAGAGAGAGAGAGAGAGAGAGAGAGAGAGAGAGAGAAGGAAGTGACCACAGGATAGACTTACCCAGACTTCTTGGGTCATAGAAGGCTGTGGTAACAACACCGCCATTTCTCTCGATTGCAGCAATAGCTAATTCTGAAGCCAACTGCACCTCAATATTCACTTTTGCTTGAAAAGTATCAGCACCCTGTCATGTTAACACAAGGCCTGTTAGTAACCAGCACAAGGTCCATTTTCAGCTGTGCTTCCCCCTCTGAAGAACCTGCAACCCCAGCTCTAACTACCTCTGCCTAGGGTATATCCTTCAGCAATTCTCAAGCCCTGCAAGTAAGAATGCCTGCCTGATTTCCATTTCTGCATTCAGTAGGTACTGAGAGAAGCATCCATGGGCCATACACAGGCCATTAGCAGTAAGTACACGATTTAATCCTAACCATGATTGTTACTACACCAAATACAGATGGGAACGAGGAGGCATTCAAGCTGTTGAGTAACTCATTCAAGACACAAAGTCAAGATACTAACCCAGAGTGTAGCCAGAGCCTTTGAGTTGGACTTTCCTTTTTCCAATGCTTAGAATGGAAAGCCAATGTCAGTCAGCTCCATACCCAGCAACATCTGTGTTCTTTCAAAAACTGTATCACCCCCTCCTCCATGATTGCAGCATGCATGTGAAAGTCAGAGAACAATTTTGTGGTTCTCTCTTTCAACCTTCACGTGGATTCCAGGTATTACACACATGTCTCCATGTCTGGGTGGCCTTTACCTACAAAGCCATTTTACCAGCCATCTCTATTCTTAACCACAACATTATGATCCACCATACAGACTAAACCAAATCTTCCTGAGACTGGAGTGACGACGCAACAGATAAGAGTATTAGCTGTTCTTCCAGAGGATGCCAGTTTGATTTCCAGCTCCTGTTCCAGGAGCTCCAATGCTGATGCCCTCTTCTGGCCTCCCCAGGCAATAGACACATATGGGGTACACAGACATAACGTTCAGGTAAAACACACATACACATAAAAACTTTAATAATAAAATAAAACCAAGTCTTCCTTATCCCTAAGCAAGCAACAGAAGGTTATAGAGGAGACAAAGGTCTGGAACAGCCTTGAAAACAAAATTATCTGACAATACTGAAGGGGTTAACTGTCTTTAGGAACAAGGAGGAGGGAATCCATTTTGTATTCACTGTCAACTTTATTATTCTCTCTAAAATGGAGGAGGCATCTATTTTCCCCTAGAATGTTTAATACTAGAAGATGAAGCAATGGACTCCTTAAAGTCCTGTCTAACTTCAAAACACTACTTTTGTCATTTTATTACGGCTAAAACTAGCTCTCATCTGATTCCTTTTGTTATGAACATTTCATATATTTCAAAATATTCTAGTTATTCTATCAACTATAGGATGTAGTTTCTTTTTATATTTGATAATGGTGTATATTTTTATAATCAGTAGACTGTCAATTCATAACTAGGGACTTGATGTATTAATTTGTGATTTTCTTTTCTTTTCAATTACTACTCTAAGGCCGGGCAGTAGTGGCACACACCTTTAATCCCAGCACTTGGGAGGCAGAGGCAGGTGGATCTCTGTGAGTTTGAGGCCAGTCTGGTCTACAAAATGAATTCCAGAAGAGCTGTTACACAGAGAAACCCAGTCTCGAAAAACTAATTAACTAAATAAGTAAACAAATAAACAATTACTTTGTTACTACTCTGTAATCTGCTCAACCATTTCACTATTCTGGCTCTGGTGCTAATTTGAGTATTTTAAGTTTTATAAATTGTCATTTTTTTTGCTGGGCTGGTGGCACATGCCTTTAATCCCAGCACTCGGGAGTCAGAGGCAGGCGGATCTCTGTGAGTTAGAAACCAGCCTGGTCTACAAGAGCTAGTTCCAGGATAGCCTCCAAAGCCAAAGAGAAACCCTGCCTTGAAAAACCAAAAATAAAAAAATTGCCATTTTTAGGAAGGTCTACAAATCCCTTCTGTGTGTGTGTGTGTGTGTGTGTGTGTGTGTGTGTGTATATATATATATATATATATATATATATATATATATATATATATATATATATTTCTCTTACTGGTTGATGAATACAATACAATACTGATTGTCTAATAGCCAGGCAGGAAGTATAGAATGGCTTCCAGACAAGGAGAATACTGGGCAAGAGGAAGGAGAGGGAGGCTGCCAGCGGAAGTCTCCACAGGACGCACCAGGCGTTCTCTGGTAAGATAAGGCCATGTAGAAATACAAGATTAGTAGTTATGGGTTAATAATTAAGAGAGAGCTAGTCAGTAAGAAGCCCCTACCATCGGCCGACAGTTATAATTAATATAAGTCTTTGTGTGTTTATTTCAGGCAAGGTGGCTGTGGGACCAGGCTGCAAATCCTAGCAACAAATATATATTTCCAAATAATTCTGTGCCTACTAACCGCAACATCTTATTATCTACTATTACTTGCAAGTGTAAACTCAGAAAAGGCAAACAATGTACAAGCTGTATGTAACTACATGTATTTAATCATTGTCCCAGGGTAGAATTTTCAGTATAATGTCCACCAGCATTAATAACACATACCCAAAACATACTGAGACACATAATTTAAATACTGCCAAGGTCACAGATTTTTCTATGAAGTACATGTCCTTATCTTTACACATCCATAGTAGAATACTGAAGTTTAATCATGTCTTTGGTATTGCTTTTCCAAATGAACTTACCTGTTTGGTTTTATTGGAGTTTGTTTTGCTTTTCTTTTAGAAAGTGTTTTATAGAGCAGCCAAGATACACCTAGACTCAAACTTCCAACAATCCTCCAGTCTCAGCTTTCTAAGTGCTGGGATCACAGGCATGATCTACCACATCAGATACCAAATGAGACCTGAAAAGCTCTGTCTTTAGGGTCACATTCTCAAAGGTTCTTCCATGGGCATATGCTTCCCTCTAGTGGACACCAAGTTACTACTCAGCTACAGCTATGTAGTTATGTTTATGAACTGCTGTTGGTCAATAGGTGTAACAAAAATTTCTACTGATGATGAAGGGGATTTAAAATGTCCCCTTTTTCCATAAATACTAAGTAATTTTCAGAGCTAAGACTGCTGATATTGAAACTATAACTAAGTACCTGCCTTTACAAGTTTTAGGGGATAGTGAGAAAGAAGAAACCAAAGTGCAGTTGTATACCAGATACTACAAAAAATTGGTTGGGAGGCTGGAAAGATGACTTAGCATCAAGGGAACTAGTGGCAGTTCCAGAGGGTCAGGTGTCTATTACCAGAACCCACATGATGGATGGCTCACAGCATCTGTAACTCCAGTCCCAGGGCATCCAAAGCTTGAGCTGGAACCAGACCCACATATGGTATACATATTCAGGCAAAACACTCACACACATAAAATAAAAACAATAAAAAGAGAGATGCTTTGGGCAGGAAAAGGCAGGCATAAAGTGTGCTTCTAAGAATGTGACAGGGGCACAGGCAGCACTTAAGCTACTGACAGGCTCTTGTCATCTTACAATTTACTTAAACTATTTGTTAAAAGTATGGGGTAGGTGAACAGACCGTACTGGTACAGGCCTGCCATCTCAGCACTCAAGAGACAAAGGCAGGGGCCAACCTAATCTACCATAATGAGTTCCAGGGCAGCCTGCCAGAGCCACCCTGCCTCAAACAACAAAAATAATTTTTATGTTGACAGGTGAAAATCAAAAAAACGAGGGAGGAAAGCTGTACAGACCCACAGAAGCAGAAGACAGAGCTGTGCCCTGAATATACATCAGCTTTCTGTAACCACAGGTAATATGAACTGTTTGCATGTATTCTGTGTGTTTTGTCTGCATGAATGTCTGTGCACCAAGTGTTTGCAGTTCCCATCGAGGCTAGCAAAGCGGCGGATCCTGGGACTGAAGTTACAGATGGTCTTCTGTGAATAGCTGATGTTCTATACCACTGATCTATCTCTCCAGCCCCCAAGAAGGGGTAAAGGTTGATTAAGTGGTCCCTCAGTTTCACCTTCAGTTTCAGTTACTGGTTCTGCAGAGCCGGGAATCAAAGCAAGACCCTGTACACGCTGGAAATGCGTCTCCAGTACACTTCAGGTTTTAAACTGTGTTGCACAGCATGACATCTCATGCCCACCCCTCCCGGCATGAATCATACCTTTCTGAATCATCTTCACACTCTATCTGGTACCCACCCATCAGCTCGACATAGTATTGCAACACCGTATAGTATCCCTTATCTTAATGATGGCCCCAACGTACAAGAGCAGTGGTTCTGACAACTCAGATATGACAGAGAGGAGCTATAAAGTGTGTACATGAATAAAAGACATGGAAGTTCTCCATTTAATAAAGTCATAAGGTTACTAACAACTGTAGCAAATTATTATCTTCCCACTATGCCTAACTTGTGAATTAATTTATACCATGTTTGTATGAAAACAGGAAAACACAGTTTATACAGTTTGGTGAAGCATCCACACGGTACCTGCCCCTCACAGGTAAGGAGGAACTATTACAGCAAAGTATCTATATACTACCAAAAAATGTCCCCAAATGAACAAGACAGACAAACAAACAACAAAAACAAATCTAGAGTTACCTCTTCAACCAGCTGGACCCCATAATCCCTTTTGAGTGGCTGGATGGTCACACCTCTCCCATTGACTAGCTGAGTTAAGTCAATAGGTTGTGTTGGATCAACTCGCCCTAAATCAATGAGATACTGCAGTCTCCTGAGACTCAAAGGCTGATACTGATGCCTGAAACTGCAAAACAGGAACATAATAGTTAGAAAACACCAAGCAGTCTTCCTGTAACCTCTTCAAATCAACAGTTTTTGTTCTGTTTTCCTTGATGACTTCTCACGGTTTAAAATAAACATTAGTACAATACAAAAACATAAAACACTGGTGCTTCCTTTGTTCTACTAAAAACAATTTACCTCTCTAAACATTTACCTCATGTACACAAGTAAACTTAAAGAAAAGTTTAAACCAAAGTAACAGATTATAGAATAACTGTAGCTACAACGTGTTATATACATATACATGCACACATATTATGGAAAGACACATTCCTTTTAAATTGATAAACGTCTGAAGAATGATAGCAAGCATTATCATCCTCATTTTGTAGGTAGAAGCAGAACATCTGGGCTTACACACACAAAATCTAGGTTAAGTGTCCTATCTGAAAACTATTCAGAGGAACAGTACCACAATCCTGCTTCTAAGTAGATATAAGGTTTCTACCAAATTACTTATTTATGGAAATCTTGGTGGAAATTAGGGATTTGTACTTCAAAAGAAAAACACCCTTACCTATGTCCTTCATTGAATCCATACTTTGGGATTCGGATGTAAAACGGAGTCTGCCCTCCCTCAAAGCCCAGCCGGGGCCGAGTTCCTCTCTGTCTTTCTCCTTTATGGCCTCTGCCACATTTCCTACCTCGTCTCCGATCTCTTGGACGTCGTTCCTACAAGGGAGTGAGTTTCAAGATCTTCAGATACATTTCTGAAAGCTGTGTTTCACCTCACAGCACACTTTCTATTGTGCCTTTTCTCATCCAACCAGTACTAGTTAAGGTACTGTGTGCCAAGCACTGCTCCAGCCCTCCACTAGCATAGATCACTGGAACATAGCTAATTCTAGTAACGGAATCACAGGGCAAAGTTCCAAGGGTGGACGGAATCCCAGGGGAGCAGCAAGCTCTACAGTAAGCCAGGTCCCAGACTAGTGGGCTCGTGCTGCCCTGCAGTGACAACTACTTGGACAGTGAGGCAGGATGACTCAAAGCCTGCCTGAGCCACACAACAAGTTCAAGGCCAACACCTCCAGTTCACTGAGATTGTGTCTCTGAATAAAACATTTAAAAAGCAGGAAACAGGCTGGGGTTCAGCTTAGTGGTAGTATGCTTGACTAAGCAAGCCAAGGGCCTGAATTCAGTCCTCAGTAAAAAAGCGACTGGAACAAAAAAGAAAAATCCTAGAACTAAGCAGCCAAGGTGAGGCTTGAGCGATATCCAGTCTTATTTTAATTAATCGTAAATATGCAATTGTATCACATACGGCTAAGGAAAACTCCATTTTGTGCCAGACACCCATTCTAAATTCCTAAAAGATAAGCTCCTGGCAACTCTAACTCCTTGTCCCCCTCCCCAGAAGTGGAAAACTGTTGTAAAAGCCTTTGCTCTGATTTCTGTAAACTCCCTACATTCCACAGAAATGAAGTAGTTGTGACCTGCCTTTAAAAGCCCGTTTAAGCTGGGCCTCAGTTCCAAATCCGAACTGAGACAGCTGCAGTTGAAAATGAAATTTTGGCTAATTACAACTGGGCAGAGTCGGGTGGTCTTTCGGTGTTTTCTTAACTCCGTACAAACACCTTTCTTTTACTTTGTCACCTCCCCGGGAGCAACAAATTAGTTACAATGAGAGGCGAGACGACAGCTTTCTAGGTGTGCAGGGGGCTGCACCTGAGACAGCGGAAGTAAAAGTCAGTTCGAATCTTTACAACGTTGACAGGCACTTTGTCAACGGACTTGCGCGCAGACGCGGCTTTGAGGACCCCGCAGTTCCCGGGAGTGTGCCCCTCTGCACGCGTCGTGCTTTTGAGGACCCCGCAGTTCCCGGGAGTGTGCCCCTCTGCACGCGTCGTGCTTTTAAGCCTCGCGAACGCTGGGCGCACGCGGGAGGGGGCCGTGGGCCCGGGAAGCCGCACGCGTCCTCCACCGCTGGGGTCGCGGCGGGCCCCAGCACTCCCCGCACCGCCGCCGTCCGTTTACCCGTTTCCTGGAGTCAGCGTTGGGCTTCAGGTTGGCCAGGCTCACTCGTGGCAGGGAGCGGAGCAGGTCCAGGCTGGCCCCGCCGCTGCGCACCACGCCAGCCATGACCCACGGTTTCGCCAAGGGCGCCGCGGCTCGGCGTTGCTTTACGGCCACGCTCAGCCCCTGTCGTGCTGCGGAGCACCGGCGTCCGCGGAATACGGACTCTCTCGCTTCCGGCTTCCGAGCCTAGGGGGCAAGGTCGACTGCTTTTTGTTTTGGTTTTTCGAAACAGGATTTCTCTGTGATGCTTTGGAGCTGTCCTGGAACTCGCTCAGTACACCAGGCTGGCCTCGAACTCAGAGATCCGTCTGCCTCTACCTCCCAAGTGCTGGGATTTTTTTTTTTAATCATTTTTTATTTTAATTTTAAATAGCTTGTTTCACATGTCAATCCCAGTTCCCTCTCCCTCCCCTCCTCCCTCCATCCCCTTCCACCCTCCCTCCCACCCTATTGCCAAATCCCTCCACATAGGGGATGTCTAAAGTCTATCATTTCACTCTTGGTAGGGTCAAGGCACTCCCCTAAGAGTCCAGGCTGAGAGAGCATCTCTCTTTGTGCCATAGGCACATGAAGACAGATTGTATACCAGGGATAGACACTGATCCACAGCTCAGAGCCCCATAGGTTGCCCAGGCCTTCTCACTGACACTCACATTTGGGGGGTCCAGATCAGTCCCATTCTGGCCTCCCCACTGTCGGTCTGGGGTCCAAGAGCACTCCCCTGTTCAGATCAGCTGTCTCTGCTGGTTTTGCCAGCCCATTCCTTGCCAATTTGCTCATCACTCCTCTCTCTCTGTCACTGGGTTCCTTGGGTTCAGTTCAGTGCTTAGTTGTGTGTTTGCCTCTGCTTCCATCAGTCCCAGGATGAAGGCTCCCGGATAGTTATAGACATCAAGTTCATTATCAGGAATGGGCATTCGAGGTGGTCCTTCCACTATTGCTTAGCTTGCCAATTGATGTTATACCTTTAGATCACTCGAGGTCACTCTGGTGCCTGATCTGTCTTCGATCCTATGATTCCCTCTTCCCCCTATTTTACCCCCACCCCCTCAACTTCCTGTTCCCCCATGACCAACTCCCTTCCTCTTTACCCCCTCTACTCTTCCCAGGTCCCACTACCCCCCCCCTCGCCCTGTTCCCCATCCATTCAGAGGATGGAGACAAGTGCTGGGATTAAAGGCGAGCGCCACCAACGCCTGGTGCTTGGCTGCTTTTATTTATTTTGGTTTTTCGAGACATGGTTTCTCTATATTGTTTTGGAGGCTTGCCTCGAACTCACAGAGATCCGCCTGCCTCTGCCTCCCGAGTGCTGGGATTGAAGGCATGCACCACCGACCCCCAACTTGCTTTTATCTTTACATTGATTTCTTCTGCGAACGTGCTTTGCCTTAGGCTTTGCACCCCGTTGTGAACGAAAAATGTTCCCTTCCACCCTGAAAGGACTGGGAAGGCTGTAAAATTCGGCTTCTTTGTTGATTTTTAAAGTGGGGGTCTCATGAAGCCAAGAGTAATTCTAAATAATGTGAGCAATTTCTAGCTTTGGGGTTTGGGTAATCCAACTATTACAATGCCTGGCTCATCTTCATGCCCCGAATTGCTAACTTGCCTTACAGTTCATGATGGGGGCCATACTGAGCGCCAAAAACGCATTAACTTAGCCTTCTGCGAATTTTTTAAATATTTTATTTATTTATTGTGTATACAGCCTTCTGCCTACAGGCCAGCAGAGGGTACCAGATTTCATTCAAGGTGGTTGTGAGCCACCATGTGGTTGCTGGGAATTGAACTCAGGACCTCTGGAAGAACAGTCAGTGCTGTTAACTGCTGAACCATCTCTCCAGCCCCACCTTCTGCGAATTCTACTAGCAGCCACCCTAAAAGGTTTGGCTAAGCCAATCAGATTGACTGAGTTCTCACAACATGCAGTATAGCCAGGATTCCAAGCTAACGAACTTATACACCAAACATGTATTTGACTCCGAAACTAAATGATTTTAAGTCTTAATACAAGTAATATTGAAAAGAATGTGTTCTTTTTGTTATTCTTTTGCCATTTCACTGTCTCCCAGGAAAGTTGGTCCTAGCTCTTACTAACAATTATGTAGTTAAGGTGAGACAATTTGTAACGGACAGTAGTTTCTAAATCTAACTAAACCTTTTTTAAGTTACTGTAAAGGCTTTTGTTTTGTTCTGTTTTGATGTATATGTATATTTTTGAGAACTGGCAAAGGCCAGAAGAGGGCCTCCAATGCATGTCCTCTGAAAAAATAAGTACTACACAGCTTAGCCATCTTTCAAGCCTCCAAATCAACTGTAAAACAGCTACAATCAAGTTATGTTCATGTCTTTAAACAATATTTTTATGAGCAAGGCACTGGTTGAACCAATAGAAACATAGTAGAGGAAGTCAATCTAAAATAGTTCTCCCAGATTGTCTGAAATCCTGAAGACTCCAAAATCAACTTATTTTATGTTTGTTTTATAAGATAGGCTCTTGTTGTCCTGTAAACTAATTAGCAAAACTGCTGCAGCAGTTTTCAACGTGTGGGTTAAAACCCCTTTGGGAAGTGAACCCTTTCATGGGGGGTCACATATCAAATATCCTACATATTAGATATTTACATTATAATTCAGAACGGTAGCAAAATTACACTTATGAAACATCAACGAAAATAATTCTATGTTTGGGGGTCACCACAACTTGAGGAACTGTACTAAATAAAGGGTCACAGCATTAGGAAGATTAAGAACCACTATGTTATGGGGGTCCCTGAATTTTTGTCTTTTAGAAGGAAAGAAAAAAATCAACCAAGAAACAGATAACTTGAACAGTTTATTTAATGAAGATAAGCAAATAATCCAGTCATTGGAGTGGGCTGCCCAAAGGTAGGGAGAAGTTTAGTGGATTTTGAATTGTGGGGTTGTAAGATTCTCAGAATAGTTACCAAGTGGGTGATATTTAAAAGGGAGCAACTTTTTTGACCTCCCATGATGGATGGGATCATCTTCCCAAGATTCTCTAAGAAAGCCCATGGAGGGGGGAATTCTAAGACTTTAATTCAAAACCTGAACTGCTAAACCAGGCATAGTAGCGCATGCCGTTAATTCCACCATCAATGAAACAGAAGCAGGCAGATCTCTGTGAGTTCAAGGCCAACCTGATTTACAGAGCTAGTTCCAGGACAATCCAGGTTAGAAAAGGAAACCCTCCTGGTGTAGTGCTTGAATGAAAATGCCCCCCATAATCTCATAGGGAGTGGCACTATGTGAAAGGACTAGGATCTGTGGCCTTGTCAAAGTGGGTGTGGCCTTGTAGCAAGAAGTTTACCACTGGGAGATGGGCTTTGAGGTTTCAGAAACCTAAGCCAGGCCCAGGGGCTGTCTCATTCCCTGCAGATTCAGATATAGAAATCTCAGCAACCTCTCCAGCAACATGTCTGCCTCCATGCCACCAGGATTCCCACCATTGATGATAATGACTGAACCCTGAATGGGAGCAAGCCCCAGTTAAATGCTTTTTTATTTATTTTTTAAAAGATTTATTATACATACAGTGTTCTACCTGTGTGTATACTTACGTGCCTGAAGAGGGCACCAGATCTCATTATGGATGATAGAGAGCCACCATGTAGTAGCTTGGAATTGAACTCAGGACCTCTGGAAGAACAGCCAGTGCTCTTAACCCCTGAGCCATCTCTCCAACCCCTAAATGTTTTCTTTTATAAGAGGTGCTGTGGTCATGGTGTCTAAGACACCCTGTCCTGAAAAAAATAGTAATAAATCATAATACTAAAATAAATAAAACTTTGAACTGCTGCTGGGCATGGTGGCACGCCTCTTTAATCCCAGCACTCAGGAGAGGGGTAAGGGTTCTCCAAATTGAATTCAAAGCCAGTGTAGTCTATAGAAAGAGTTCCAGAGCAGCCAGGGCTACACAGGGAAATCCTATTTTGAAAACAACAACAAAACAAACTGCTGAAACTACTAGAGAAAAATAGGGACAAGACATCCCAGATACAAGCATTGGCGATTTTCAAGTAGCACAGAATGTAAACCTAAGAACTAACAAAATTAAATGAAGGAAACTGGTATGTTTCTGCTGATGCCAAAAGTCCATATCAGACAAGATTAAAAACAGATAAATGCAAAACAGGCTGTAGGCAAGCCACAGTTACACAGTGAGACCTTGTTTAAAATTTTTAAAAATACTTTGCTAACTTCAACTTTTATATCTCAGCTCACATTTATTACTTGATAGATCCTGTGGGTTTCTTTCCCACAAAATATGGAAAATACTTATTTCTAACAAAATAAGCTACCTCCCAATGGAAATACAGGAAGCTAAATATGAGATAGTACTTAACTATTCAATTATAAATCAAAACAGAGGCAGGTGGATCTCTGTGAGTTCGAGGCCAGTCTGAGTTCCAGGACAACCTCCAAAACAATACAGAGAAACCCTGTCTCAAAAAAACAAAACAAAACAAAACAAAACAAAAAACAACAAAAAAATAGGATTAAAGTGTGGCATCATCTGTTTTCTTTACTTTTTACTAGACTGTATACACATATCCATCATTTAAAATGAATTTTACCTAAATTATTGTGTTGTTCTTTAAACGTGAAGGCACAAATAAATTGTCTCAAATAAACTGTAAGTGAAAAGTACATTTTGTGACAGGTCATGCCTACCAGAAGATCAGGTAGACTGCCCTCCTACCTTCTCCACTCTCTGTTCCCAGAACCCAATCCTCAGGATTGCTCCTAGCTTTGTAACACACCATTCCTCCTTGGCCTCCCCTCCCCCAGCCTCCAATATCAGTATGCATTCCCCATGCACCAGCTGGGCAGGCCAGTAAAACAGGCAAAACACAGCCAACACACTCTCTGAAAATCTATAGAGGAAACAGAAACCAAGGAACAAAACACCCACCCAACAAAGAGAAACCCAGAAATCAGCACCTGGACCTATAATCACCCAAACTCAGATGCCTAGACACCTGTGTAAAAATACAATCAGTAACAGCCAGGGCAACATGTCTCCACTAGAGCTGAGCTATCCTACCGCAGTAGATCTTAGTGTCCCAGAACGGCTGAGCCACAAGAAAAAGACCTTACAACCACCTATATGAAGATTATAACAGTCCTTAAAGAGGAAATTAATGAATCCCTTAAAGAAGTTCAGG